CACATGTTGCAGCTTATGCAGCCCTTGATTGCTCTCGGTGGAGGTGAGCGAAAGGGCTGGTTGTAATTTGTATTTCTTATTGTAAGTAACCCACGCTGGGACCCTTATGGTGAACGACGGGTAAGGAGTCTTACATAGAAATAAAGTTGGCATGGATTTTGTTTTTAGACCAGATGTACACTTTGTGACAAATGACTGCCTGGGAATCGGCTTTGTTTTGGGTATGGCTGGGAGGAACAGCTGAGAGCATGCGGGAAAGTGCTAAGGATGGGTTTGGCAGATGTGCTGGTGGCAGGACGTATGGGAGCAGCTTCTATTTCCTCGGCTGTTTTGATTTGTGTGTGTGTATTTTTTTGCATTTGAATCCTGCTTGTCATTTCCCCTCCCCTTCTAAGATAATATTTTGCTTCCTTGCTAAACATGCTGCTTCAAATACGGGTCTTTGCTGTACCTTGCATTTCATTTGTAATGTTTTATTTTGATATTTTGAAACATTTATGTGTCTAAAGAGATGTTGTGAACTGTTTAGAGTTAACACCCTGCACTCAGAATGGTTAAGAAGTATACCAAAATGATCTAAAGAAAGAAAGAAATCTTTAAAAGTTGGTCTTTGTTTATCAAAACAAAGAGCATTCTCATACAATGCCACTAGATGGCATAAACAGACTTATGGAGGTAAAACAGGTACATTCAAAATTGGGCCCCTGGCCTGCCACAGGCTCCACTATCCACTACGCTGACTCCTAGAGAAACGGAGATCCCATGGATCCAAGGTCACAACAATTCCTCTGAACCGGGTGTCAATGCAGTTGGAGAAGCATCAGATTAACATGCTCCAAAACGGACCGATTCTGCCAAGGCAACAGCATTCTGCAGCCAGCTGCAGTTTACAAACGCTCCTCAAAGTCTGCATGCTGCAACAGTCTAACCTGGGTGTACCAGAGCAGGTGGGACGGGGGGCAGATCTGCCTTCCCAAGAAAAGGGAGCAGTTGGTGCACCAGCTGAAACTGCGCAAAGGGACAGCTGAGCATCCAGGAGCCAAAGGACTTGAGAAGGACTCCCACACTGCAAACTTGATTCTTCAGAGGAAATACTGTCCAGAGCAAGAGGAGAAATTTCCCCGTCTCTCTGCCATAAGTCCTGAGTCACGTTTTAAGAGCATCTGGTCTCCTGGAACACCCGCTGTCTTATGCACTTAAGGATTTGGCCTGAAAACTCTCAGCCTAAGGCTGCTAATGTGAGTGAGACTATAACTGCACATTAGGGGGGAAGGAAACATAGGACATTCTAGGATGCTTTCTGTGTAAATTCACATCTGTTTGCTGTCCTGGCCTCTCAGCTTAATGAATATAAGAATGCAAGAATAAGACTGCTGGATCAGACCAATGGCCCATTTAGTTCTCACAGCGACCACAGCACTCTCCCCTCCTGTGGTTTCCAGCAGCTAATATTTAAAAGCATGGCTAGTGGCCATTGATAGCCGTCTCCTCCACAAATTTGTATGACCCTTCTAGTGAAGCTTGGCTCCGAGGAACAGGTGGGAAGTTGGTGGAGGTTGTGACAGCAGCAGGTAACCGGAGACTTCAATGGAACACTTTATGAACCGAAAGCCCTTTTGGACAAAGAGCATCACATCACTTCTGTGTCTTACACAACTTCCAATCTGATCTTTACCATTTTTACTGAGAAATAAGCCAGATTGAATTCATTGGAATTTACTTCCTATGAACTTTGTTTAGCACAGGAGCCCATGGGCAGGTGTGGAAACCTATTTAAGCCCAAAGGCCGAATTAAAACTCATGGGCAACCTTCCAGTGCTTGTATGTCAATGGTGGGTGTGGCCAGAGGCAAAGTGCGTGGAGCAAGGGATGTGACCTTTTACCTCTGTGCAGTAGGCTGTACTGCAAACACACAGAATCCAGATTTTTACACACACACACACACACAACACACACACTCCATCCAGGTAAGGAAGAGACCTGGAGAAGAGGCCTAAGAATCTGAGTTCCCACCTGTTATGCTAGATATGGTGGTAAATAGTAGTAAATATCTGATGATACTCCGTTTCACCATTGGCCCTGATTTACACAGCCCCACTGCAGATAAGAGTTGAGTTTCAATTGTTGTTCATGACTCTCAGTTTGCTCTCAGGGACCACTTCACTGGGACTGACAGATGTTGTTGGACTACAAATCCATCATTAGTTGCTCAGTTGGTGCAGTGCTTCAAATTGTGGTGTTTTTGCTGCAAAATTCTGCAAAAACTCTTGCCAGACTTTGGTACTGGTTTGGAGTGAATTGGACAACGTTGGGTTTTGAGCTAATAACCATGGCCCTAGGTTTGAGTAGCAATTGCTGTGTTAGTGGGGCACTGCAAAACACAGAGTTTTCGCTGCAAATCACTACCAAAAAGTGTTGGGAGTTGGAACTTAACTGGTTAAGTTGTTCCCATGGTGCCTCAGCATTCTGACGTCAGCTGTGGAAGCTGGGAGGAGCCTGGGAGTGGTTTTTGTTCTGTTCCCTCTGTGTATCTGAGAGGGAGACATGTTTGCAGCAATGGCTGCCAGCAGTGACGGACTTTGATGCTGAAATGTTGTAATAAAGAGCTGTAAATAGACAAACGACTCTGTGTGTTTGTCTGGAAGCTGAACCAAGCAACGTGACAGTTCTACACCGCTGTGCGGAAACTCTGCTGAGCCGTGACGGAGAGGCGCTGAGGAAGTGTGCCGGGCGGCCATATATCGCTAATCGAGGTTCGTAAATCAATTAGCGGGAGTCACGGCTAACTACCAAATGTCACAAAAAGACCCTTCAAAACTTTGGCACAGGTTTGGAGAAGATCCCAAATTGTGGGGTTCATAGTTAATTTTCCTATTATCTTTGTCCATTAGCCATGCTGGCTGGGGTTGATGGGAGTTGGAGTCAACAACATCTGCGAGGCCACAGGTTCCCCATTCCAGTTATAAACTATATTTTATTGCCATGTTCTTTAAGGCAATACTGCCCAGAAAAGTTATCAGCTCCCGATCACTAGGCTATGGATAAAAATAAACCAATAACAACAGGCTGCAGAATGTTACAGGTAGAAGCAATCCTTAGCCACTTGCTGCCTCAGGCCAGTGTTTGCATGGGTGACCGCATATATCCTATTTTAAGACTCAGTGAGCTATCCAGGCTCCAGGTTTGATAAGGGTAACATTTTAACTACCCCTGTGCTCTTTTCTCCTACTTTTAAGATGGCTTTGATTAGATCTGTCAACACTCATTTCCTTCTCCCCAACCATGAAATGTGAAGTATCAATTAAACGGATAGATAGTCAAAGCGATGAATATGTATAATTCAAAGGGCTCAGCTCCTTGTCGTCTGTAGGTCACTCCTGATGGGGCCCATGCTCTTAAGATCTTTCTTCCCCGCCTTCCCCTCATTACTTTTCAAAAACTGGCAAACTGGGGGGGAGGGGGAGCCCCTACTCACGCCTTTGAAATTTACTGAGCTTTTGAGCAGGCAGCTGTATCTTCAGATTACTGCAAATATCTGACCTTTACAAATGATAATTAAAATATAGCACTTAAAATTCATTGCTTCGATATATATTTTTAAAGGTTGCTAATCATGGCTGATAAGGAAGAAAGGAAGGAAGGAAGATCTGGCTGTTTGCACAGCACACTTTTTTTTTGCCTGTTCCCACTAATATCCTTATATTGAGGTTAGAGGACTTGGGTATTAAACACCAATACCAGACCAGACCAGAGCCAAAGAGGTCGTGTCCAGAGGAAAACACAGAGAGGCCTACTCCCAGGCCTGAGGCTGTTTTAGATTTTATGGCTTTCTTCATCTATTTCCCACCCCCCACCCCCCCACCCCCGGTTTTGCAATGATTTTGTTATATTTTTATAATCGCGGACGCCAAAGGAAGCCAGGAATAAAGCAACTTCCCAAGACATTCTAGGAAGTTAAAATGGCGGCCAAACTAAAAAGTAGAAGGAAACAGCAACAAAAGTAAAGGAAAATGAATTCAATGAAACAAATGTACAGTGGTGCCTCGCAAGACGAAATTAATTCGTTCCGCAAGTTTTTTCTTCTTGCGAGTTTTTCGTCTTGCGAAGCACGGTTTCCCATAGGAATGCATTGAAAATCAATTAATGTGTTCCTATGGAAACCGCTTGCCAGGCTGGCGGTGCGGAGAAGGGCTTTTCTCCCCACCGCAAGCCTTCAGGACAGGTACGGGAACAGAGGGGAAGGCGCGCAGCGCTTTTCCTCTGTTCCCGGGGCTTGCGTGGGAGGAGGGTTTTTCCTCCCCACCGCCAACATTCAGAACAGCATTCTGAATGTTGGCGGTGGGAAGGAAAACCCTTCTCCCACCCCAAGTCTTCCCCGCCCCACCGCCCGGCTTTGGAGCATCCTTCCGAAGCCGGGCGGCGGGAGGAGGTGTTCCCGCCCCACCGCCCGGCTTTGGAGCATCCTTCCGAAGCCGGGCGGCGGGAGGAGGTGTTCCCCCCCCCTGCCGCCCGGCTTCGGAGCATCCTTCCGAAGCCGGGTGGCGGGAGGAGGTGTCCCCCCCCACCGCCCGGCTTCGGAGCATCCTTCCGAAGCCGGGCGGCGGGAGGCGGTGTCCCCGCCCCACCGCCCGGCTTCAGAGCATCCTTCCGAAGCCGGGCGGCGGGAGGAGGTGTCCCCGCCCCGCCGCCAGGCTTCGGAGGAGGTCCGAGGACAGTGGGGAAGACGCGCTGCGCTTCCCCACTGTCCCGGAGATTTCCCTATGGGCTTTCGTCTTGCGAAGGAAGCCCATAGGGAAATTCGTTTTGCGAAGCGCCTCCAAAACGGAAAACCCTTTCGTCTAGCGGGTTTTCCGTCTTGCGAGGCGTTCGTCTTGCGGGGCACCACTGTACAAATAAATGAACAAATGAGGTCTTTGATGACTAAAATAATTGCTAAGCGAACAAAAAAAGTCTTGCTCACCCCTCTCCTCTTTTCAGCACTGAGTAACGTATCATCTTACCTTGTCACAGAAAACCTTGATCTGGCAGAAGGCACGATGGATAGGTTTATTGCTGCGATTATTGTAGCTGTACGTGTCAATCTGAATCATCAATGGAAGCCCCTTGACTCCTTTCTGAGAAGAGAAGTCTGTGCTCAGGCAGTTCACCGTGATGAAAATCTGATTTGGAGAAGAAGAAAGTTTAAAGTTAAACTGGTACAGAAGTGGTTGCTATCCATGAAGAGAATAATAATAATAATAATAATAATAATAATAATAATAATAAATTTTATTTATATCCCGCCCTCCCCAGCCGAAGCCGGGCTCAGGGCGGCCAACAACAATCAAATAATCCAACATTCTAAAAACATTTCATTATAAAAATTAATTAAAATCAAATTGATGGCAACCGTTAAGCAAAATTCTGTGCAGATTGCCAGAGGAGGGAGTCAGGCTGTGCCCTGACCAAAGGCCTGGTGGAACAGCTCTGTCTTGCAGGCCCTGCGGAAAGATGTCAGGTCCCGCAGGGCCCTAGTCTCTTGTGACAGAGCGTTCCACCAGATTGGAGCCGCAGCCGAGAAAGCCGTGGCTCTAGTTGAGAATTCAATAAAGTCCTGCCTCTATTTAATATTTAAACTTCCACTTGCAGCACCATTTGAGAAATCGATCCCTGCTCAATAGAGGTTTGGAATTATTGTTTTAAGGGTTTTTCCAACAGTGAAGTGATTTTGACGAAGCCAACTCAGCTATTCAGCTCAACTCACCTGTTCATACTTGTGATACATTAGAATCAATAAAAGAATATTACTATAAGAATTGGCTGACTCATTCTAATCAATATGTGAAATCCCCACCTTTTTCCACAACCATTTCCTGATCACTCAGCACTATGGGAATAGTCACCACATGCAGTCTTTTTCTGTGCAGTTATTGAAAGGTGCAACTTTTTAAAAGGCCCAAACTCTAAGCCCCATAGCATTTTGGCTACTGTATTTCTCGCTCTATAAGACACACTTTTCCCCTCCTAAAAAGTAAGGGGAAATGTGCGTGCGTCTTATGGAGCGAATGCAAGCGGGAGGCTCTGCTGAGCGCTTCCTTTAAAGAAACACACTTCGCACGCTCTTTAAAGGGAGTGCGGCTCTTGGGGGAGCCTTAGCCATGCACAGCCTCTCGCGGGCAGGGGATGAAGGCTCCCCTTGCCCGGGAGAGGCTGAGCGCGGCCAAGCAAGGAGCCAGGACAGCCAGCGGGATCACAGGGATCCTGCTGGCTGTCCTGGCTTCTTGTTTAGCTGTGTGCAGCCTCCCCAGCCCAGGCTAAACAAGAAGCCAGGACAGCGAGTGGGATCGTGCGCTGAGATCCCATTGGCTGTCCTGGCTTAGCCGCGCGAAGCCTCCGCAGGGCACGGGGAGCCTTCGGAGGCTTCATGGGGCTATCCAAAAATAACTGTCTGAATAGCCCTGGAGCTGCCAGTCTACAATACTGATATAGAAGGCTCAATGGTCAGATTCAGTGTAGGGTGGCTTCCTACTTTCCAGTGGGCCTTATGGTGGCACTGCCGATGGCTAAGAATACTAGCAAAACACAGAATTATGCAAAGGCTTAAGAAAACCCACTTATAGTTTTTCCCTATGCAATGACATTTGTTCAGAAAATGAAAGATGTGGAAAAGATTGGAAAAGATGTGGGGAAAGGAAGACTAAAGAAAAAAGAAGACAGACCATAGGGAGATATAGCTAATGAGCCTTACAGGGAGAATTTAACAGCATTCATCTGATTACAGAAGTCGATATTACTGTCCGGTTTTTTATGGTGCAGCCGTCTCAGCTTGTTTGCTCGGCCGAGCTAATAGCACAGCGGCATTTCTGTACCTGATGGTATCACAACGCTGTGCTTGCAAACAATGCAGTTGAACTTTAACTGATGTGAGGGAAGTGGTCTGGGATAAATCTGCTTTAGTGGGACGTGCAAAATGGACTGCCTTTCCTGTCTTAACGTAAGCCTCGTCCAGGGATTTTCTGCACGGATGATGCACTTTTGAAGAAGTGGGGCAGCAAGACTGTCCCCTCCCCACGTCCTGCAATTCACTGAGCATGCCCTCTGGTTGTCTGCATAGGGAAAATGAAGGAGCAGCCTTTAAGTGGCTGGAACACTGTGAGGTCATCCAGTGGGCATGGCCAGTGCCCCAAGGGATGTTGGGCCAGCACATTCCTGCTGCCCTCCTCTCCACACATAGGGTTGCATTCATGCAGAATACCTGAATGGGGCTATATGGAGGTGGGGATTTTTCTTCCCCCAGTCCAAGGACCACATTCCATCCAGAGGGAAACTTTCAGGTGGCTAGAATGCAAAGCTGAGCAGAGCAAGGACTATGACGTCTACCTTTCTACAGCAGACTACATTTCTACATGTCAAAGCCAGAGGTTTAAACACGATGTCTGTTCAACCAGGGATGGAGAACTTGTGGCTCTCCAGATGTTGCTCTATAACCTCAACATCCCTGGCCATGCTGGCTGGGGTTGACGGGACATGGAATCCAACAACATCTGGAGAGTCTCCCCATCTGTGCCCTACACATTATGAGAACAGCTTATTATAATTCCAACAATCTCTGACTACCAAAGAATACATCCTACATATGCAAGGATACTGTGCATTTGGTCAAAATGCCTGAATCTCAAATACAGGAGCGCTAACAAGAGGAAAATTCAAGCAAGAAACTTTCAGATAGCTGCCCTGAGCTTGGAAAAGAAGGATACAAACCAGTTAGATAAATAAATTCAGCTGCAGCAAAATTATATTGATGGAGAAGCGGAGATAGCTGAGTGATGGTAATTGATGACTACAAAAGGCCATCATTTTAGAAGATGGAATATCATCCTCCTGACACCTTAATAGATCAAGTCTCTTTAACAATCAATAATTTTAAACTTATGGCAAGCCCCTACACACAGAGGGGCGGGGGGCAAAAGCTGTTGTATCAGTATTAATGCTGTGTTATTTTGCATTATAGGAACTGGACTAGAATTAAGGGAGACCAGTGACTTTTGCAAGGTTTTATGCCTCGGTACATTGCCCTACTAGCCTCCTTTAGAAACAGTGGGGAGGGAGGGGGCTTTTAACTTGAAAAGGCCATTCACAAGAATGTGACACTGAAGCTATAAAATATCCTTTGAGTGTGCTTTTAGTTTTAATTTAGCTTCATGGCCAAGATGACATCAATGCTCTATCACCTTTCCTTCTGAAAGATGACTGATGCTCAATTATCTAGATTCTCAGGAGCCTTTCAGGGATGTCTCAGAGCATCATTTATTCTCAAGCTTCAGAAATCTGCTCTAGGTAGAAGGGCATTTTGATGCCACAGTGACAGATGCTCTGGAATAAGGAAGGCTGGAGGGAAGGTGGCAGAGATTACAATAACCAAACATCACACTAGTCAACAGAGAAAGATGTACCTCTGATTGCAAAATACAGTGGTACCTTGGGATGCGAACGGGATCTGTTCCAGAGCCCCATTCGCATCCTGAACAGAACGTAAGACGCAACTGCGCGTCTCGCCACTTTTGCGCATGCACATGACGTCATTTTGACCATCTGGCATGTGGCGAAACCGGGAAGTAATGTGCTCCGTTACTTCCAGGTCGCTGTGGAGCGCAACCGAAATTGCTTATCCTGAAGTGTATTTATCCCAAGGTATGACTGTACAGCAAGTGAATAATTACGTGCCTTTGATAAAATTCTTTCCCCCACTATTCCACAGCAAATTGTGCATGTTCTAGGGAACACTTATGATCCGTGGAATAACAACACAGTGATTGTTGGGAATGGTCCACAATGGGCAGAGAGAGAGAGAAGTAGTCTATCCAGCAGCCATAGTAGAGAATGCAGACATGTTCTCACCAGAATTTTCCTCTGCAGGAAAATGCATGGACTCCTTCCTACTATATGAGGAAAGAAAACAATATGGGGCACTGAGGGCATATTGGTGCAGAAATGGACACCCAGCTGCAATACTTTTGCTATGGCTGTCATCACTGGGTTGGGTCAAGTATAGATTATAATAGAACATAGGCATTAGGAACCTAGGAAGTTGTACTGTACAGTCTGACCATTGGTCCATCTACTTAATTTTGTCCAGTTAGCATTGTAGCTGCTCTACAGGGTTTCATCCCTACCTAGAGATATCAGGGATTGAACCAAGGGACTTCCTGCTCCACCCAAACTTCAACTTCTGGGTCCAAAACTCTGGCCTGAAGTAGTCATACATGCTCAGGCTCAAAGGTGAATAGCTGAGGGCTTCTACATGGAGAAGCATCATTTGAGGGACCACAGGTTCTCCATCCCATGCAGTGGCAGAAGGAGGGGACTCCCAGAGGACTTCCCCCTAAAGGCAAACCTGCTGCAAGTTGCAAGCTTTAAGGTTACACTGCACAGCTTCTCTTTTCCTTCGAAAGCAGATACTACAAGGCAGCATGATGACAAGTGTTGGTATCTAATCTGCAGAAGAGAGATAGTCGAAAGATGTATGCGGGTAATTTCGACTCTCAAACGTCAATACCCAAGCGCCATTGCCTCAGGGCTTGGCACTAATTTGAGAGATAAAGGTAGGCAGCAAGTTTGCTGGCATTTGAAAAAGGAAAAACACACACCAAGAAAACAGAGACAAGGTGTACAGATGGGAGAAGAGATAGGTTGGATTTTGGCTCAGGGCACTGCAGATATATGATCACAGGGCAGAGTAGGAGAGAGATCCACATATACTTATCTCTTGTGTGTGAAAATACAGTCAGCTCTATTTAGAATCTAAACTGTATAAAAGTCTTAAGATTTAAATGGCAGGAAAATAGCAATAGGCCTTAGGTTTGCTTAGGCAATCTCCCACCCTCATTTGCAATTATTAAATATAAAAAGGTCTCTGAAAATTCATATTATCAGCAGCAACACCTTATCAGTCGAAATGTGGCACTTCCCCAATCTGTGCCGTGCATAACTTGCTGACAGAAAGAGCAGGTAGAGGCTAGAGTAGCCACACGTTATTTAATAATTGTATTTTTTTGTATTTGAGACACTTTAATATACTGGTTTTTATCGCTCTCCACAGAGGCTGTATGTGACATGAATCAGGGTAATATTAATGGAGATTTAGGGCGATATTACTCACAGCATACCCATTCAAATGAAT